GGACCATCGAGCACTATCGCCTTTTTTCGAATTACAAGCAAAATACTTAAGGTTGGAACTTGCAACTTCACGATTATCGAGACGAACATAAAAGCTATCTTCAGGAGGTATTTCAGCTCGTTACAATTTGATCCAGGTTATTCATGATATTACTTTTTAGTCGCGGACCAAGGACCACGTACCGTATTGCTTGTATTGGCAGCTTTCATTTCCTGTTTACCCCCTTAGAGACTTCGGACAATGCAGCGATAGTTACTTGCTCTGGCTTGCTTGCAAAAGACTAAATAAAGTAAATTGTACAGCTCATCTCGGAGAGGCATGACACCTTTCCAGTGTTGAGTAAACGACTTTCACGTGCGTTAAGTCTCAAGGGTGCTATGGCATAAAATTTGTATCGACAACAACACCTGAGCTATCCTGAAGTGTATTCATATCCTTATGAGTTTGGACATAGTGTGTGTAGGACGCTCACTCATTCAGTCATCTGAAAACTACGGCACCTTGACACATACCTTTTTCGAAGATATTCCATTCCTCTGCAGACCTGATAAGAGAAGGAAACCAGGTCCACGTGCGTCAGTGTTGAACCGTTCTCTCTGACTGGCCCCCTCTCTCTCACTGCAGTTAATAGGGTGGGGTATTCCCTGGTAGGCCTCCTTGTTCTCAAAAATTGTCTCAAGTTACCATTTAGAGCATATTCTACTACTACATACAGCGGACCTGAGGATAAAGAGAAATGGTAACAGTTTACCATTTTAAAAATTCATCCTTTTAAAAAAACACACACGTCTAATTATGCGAAATCGTCGGAATTCTATCTCTTTGTCTTTATCTGCAATGTTCTTACTTTAAGTAATATATAACTTCTGAATACCGACTGTGATTTAAGCAAACACAAGTGCAGAAGTAGTGAATAAAAGTAGTTGTATATTTTTGTCTCAGGCTGGATACAATGTTCTCATGACCAGTTTTCAATCTTAGCCATAACGTTATAAAAAATAGATTACCCAGCGTGGCAAAGAGTGTTAGTCAAGTTTAGAGAAGGGATAAATTTTCTCTTGTTTGCGGCAAAAGAACTCCAATTTCTCCACTCGGTCAAAGACGATTCGCGTCAGTTAAACATGACATGTTTTCTCCGTCAACTAACCTCCTTGAGTGCAGGCTGCAATCAAATTGATTATGTTCTTGTGTTTTCCAATGGTCTTCATTAGCTCCAGCTCTGATATAAGATCTGTGTGTCCCTGTTCCGTGGCATTCTCTGAAATGCAAGAGTTTGGCAGTACAGTCATAATGTTAAATATTTAAGTATTCTTTTTATGACCTCCTCTACGCTAATTTGTTTTCGTTTGAAAAAACACCTATTTTCAGGCGTTTTGGCGTTGTGCTCGTACTACAAAAATAGAGGTTTTAGAAGACCTCCAGCACGTTTCTAAACACTTGTCTACTCATACATGTACTTTTAACAAGTCAAATATCGCGGGAAGTAGTAGAGTCGGGGTCAAAATGTGTACACGTTTTTTGTGGGCTCGTGGACTACGGAGGGATCACGTTGCTCGCCCTCCGTAGTCCACGAGTGCAAAAAAGTATACACATTTGTGACCCCGACTCTACTACTCGGGGGGGTCGGCGGCACTGGCGCGTCAGCGGGCATTTCTTCTCGAGAATGAATTCGCCGATGATGCCGCACACCCCGGCTACGGGTCCGGCCATGGCGAACAGATTTTTCGCATTTGCTGCGGCGCACACAGATCGCGAGCAGCATATTAAAGATTGGCAAAATGTCTGCCTAATGGCTTCAGAGAACGCTCTGGGTGCCGATTTCACGAAGGACGATGATGTGGAGTGGCCTCTGCAGGAAGGGAACGCAGAATCATCACTTCAAATTGTGGTATAAAATATTTTGCATGAACCGATCGCCACCGAAACAAAGCACAGGCTTCTGAGCCCGCTTTTTCCCAGGGCACATCAGCCAAAACGGCCTACGGAAACCAAAAAGATACAAGACACCAAACCTGCAAGGGGGTGGAAAGATTTCATCCCTTTTATTCGATGCATTATGAAAAAGACGAATCGGCGCCAACAAAGTGGATTGATATTTTGGAAGGACGTGCGGAAGCTACACTTCCACCTTTCTAGAATAACCTGATTGCGGAATTTTTAGGGGAGGATGAAGTGGAGAGCGGAAGAAGAATCGCGTAATGGTGTTTTTTCAAAGATGTAAACAACGATTTGACTCCACAGATGATTCGCGGAATCAAAGAGAGAGTGAGAAACAGTTTTGTGATCAAACACAGCTATGCCTATTAGCTTCGGAACATTGAAACGGAGGAAACAATGGCCTATTTTCAGAACAAACAAAGCGCCTGGTTTAAAAGAATGTCGGAAGCGAGACTGTTGTTGGAAGAAAAAGAAGAAAACAGCCTCCAGAGCGAAAACATATAGCGCCCAGGAACGAAATGGGTTTTTGAGGCGAACCTTCTGGTTGAGGTGAAAATTATCGGGGACCTGCAAGCTCCTCTGCATATTGGAGCGGGGCGATTGCCAGATTGGCTTCGATACAAAAGGTGTTTGTTAGCGCTTGATAAGTACGCCGACGAGCTTTGTATTTTCAGATGCATTGCGGTTCATCAACGGGTGCATCGAGTTCCTAACACAAGAAAAACTCGCGAGTTGGCCGCAAGCTTTTTCGACAAGCATCGAGTTCGAGGACGGATATACAAAAGTCATTTTCCTTTGATCGAAAATCATTTCCAGCAGGGGTTTGCAGGATATGAGATTGACGCTGAAGGAGCCTTTGCGTTGAAATATTTACCTTCACGCTTTGACAAGATCCGGTTGCCCCAGATGGACATTGGCATTTACGAAGAGCACGGTTTGTTGATCACGAAGCTCGACAAAGTGACGAAATATTATGCATGTGCCGAATGTCAAGCAAGATTCACCAAAAAACGCCATTTGCGGTGGCATGCAGAGGTTTTTGCGAGAGGAGTTTCTAAAGTGGTGTGTCGAGGAGAGCGAATCCAGCCGCCCGAAACTGCTAACGAAAAACCGTTCTACGGCCACAGGGCGTATGTGGGAAAGGCGGTCAGCTGGACGAAACACGAGGCCAATGGAGGGGTGTGCATATCCATCATAAAATGTGTGGCCAAGGTGGGGAAAGAAGAATTGCAGGATATCCAGTGGATGGTTTTTGTTGGGAAACAAACGCGGTGTTTCAGTTCCATTGCTGCCATTGGCATGACTGTCCAGAGTGTTTTCAAGGACGGCGCAAGGAAGTGGTCGCTTTCGAAAAAACAAAGCAAGGCAGGAGAGGGCTGACAAGAGAGATGTAGTTTGCAAGAACGTTGGATAGAAGGAGGGCGATTCTTGACGAGGGTTTCGAACTGATCAAGTGTTGGGAGCATGATTTCAAAGAAAGACCAATGTGTCCGAAAAAAAAAAAGGAAACTTTTCCGCATGCCATAGTGTTCGATATCGAGGCGTTGCTGGACACGAGCAAACGGAAGCAAGCGATGAATGATCTGTTGTTCGAAAGCGAGCACGTGCCGATGTCTGTTTAGTTGGCCGACATTTTGGATAGAGTGCCAGAGCACATCAGCAGCAAAGATCCTAAAGAGCTGATCCGGAGATTCTGAGAGGCGCTTGAGTGTCGGGCCGCGGCCATCCGAGAAGACATGCGGCGATGCATTCCAGAGGAAATCGAATTTCTGCCGAAGCGGCAACAAACACGCATCAGCCAATGGCGTTTTCAAACCCTAGTTTTGGGTTTCAACTCCGGGCGTTATGATTTGATTCTGACAAAAAGAGCACTTTGTGACCCAAATCGCCCAAAACAGTGATGTCAAACTGGCCAAAAAACAGAACAAGGTCATGTACATGTCAGTGGCGACGTTTCTGGAAATCTGTAGCTACAGCAGCCCCGGCACTGGTCAGGAAAAATGGATGAAAACGTACGGTGCCAAGCTCTCCAAATTGTGGTTTTCCGACGAGTGGTTTGAAACAGCCGAAAAGTTGGACTTCCCGGGACTGCTGCCGAACGAAGAGTGGTTTTCCGAGCTGAAAAATGAGATGACTCTCTCCGAAGAAGCGTACAGGGCTAGTCAGCGAATCTGGCAGGAAAAAGGGATGCAAACTTTTAAGGACTTGTTGCCCTTTTACAACAATCTGGATTTCGAGCCTTTTCTTGAAGCCTTGGAGTCAATCCGACATTCCTACACGGGGCTGAGAATAGATATTTTGAAAGATGCGGTACCTCTGCCAGGAGTCTCAATGAAATATCTCCTTCGTGGTACGCTTAACAAGAGACTCTCCGGAGTTGTACTCTCCAGAGGAGAAGGGCTACGAAATTTTCAAAGGCGCAGTTGTCAGAGGGCCGAGCCTGGTGTTATGTCGAAAACGAGAATCCGTACGCACAAGTTCCAAGACGCGAAGATGTGTCCAAGAGTTCTGGCCTACGACGCCAACCCGCTGTATCCAAGCACAATGGAGGTCGTTGCATAATAGGCGCAAACGCCAAGGAACGTCGAAAAGTTTATTGAAGTTCTGCAGAGAGACAGATGGTTTGAATTCGCCTTAGTGGACATCGATGTGCCAAGAGAGTTATGGACGAAGTTCGAACAAATGACGCCGTTGTTTTAAAACAAACCCCTTCTAAGCGAGACTATACCGTAGCACATGAAAGACTACTTGGCGCATAGCAAACGCAAACCTATGCACGACCAACGAAAGCTGGTTGGCGCCCTTTTAACCCAAAAGATCCCGTTGGACGTGAACTGCTGAAATGGTATCTCTACCATGGTTTGAATATTACAACTGTTCACCGAACCACTGGCAATGTTCCGCAAAAAATCTTCGTGTTCTTCGTAAACAAAGTCACGGAGAACAGGGGTAAGGGCGATCAAAATTCAGAGCAGGCATTGCTTGCCGAGGTATTCAAGCTTTTGGGGAACAGCTCCTATGGTAAGGAGATCGACGCTTTGCAAAGGCACACGACCGTGAAGTACACAACGAGTGAAGGCGCCTTGAGGAAAGATCTGCGCTTGGTGTGGTTTCAAGATATGGAAGAGATTGACGAGCCGATCGAATATCATCTCTCAAGCGGCGGAAGCTCGGTGTCGGCAAGCACGATAACCAGCTCTTCGCAAACGAAACCACGTTTGAGCCCATCGTGCAAATAACACAAAATCGGTTCATTGGGTTTGGTCACGGTTTTTCGATGTGTTAGACTTTCAAAGACCAGATCGGATCCGTGGCTCTTTTCCCTCCGTCTTCAAGCTCTCCGGGTTGGTAGAGATAGCGCACAGCTGTATCGGAGGGGAGCCATTTTTTTGCGAACGCTAACAGGTCAGTGATAAGGAGTAGAGGGTTTGGAATAAACGGCTTTTTCTTTGATGGCCGCAACGGGTTTTTTGCCTGTGAGGCGAGTGACTTCTCCGCTCAGAGCAGAGACCGATGCAGGAAGCCAAACGACCCATGCGGAATATCTATGGCTCTGAGGAAGGCGCATTTCAACAGCATACTGGTGCCCGAACAGGCGCTTAGCAAGGATGCGGTTATATCTTTTCATGATCGGTTGGTCCCGGTGAATCTCCAAGCGCCCACGGCGAATGTTTGTTTTGTGTTTTTCCATTTCTTACGTGACGGAGCCCGTGAATTCTACGCCAAGGTCGACCTGACGCAGCTGTGGCCATTTCAAAGTCCTGCGTTTGTAATTAATTTCTAATTACAAACACTAAAGTGACAGCTGTGTATGCGCACTAAAAATAATTTAATTTATGCTCTCTGCGAAGACACAATTATTATATGACTTGGCAAAAAGTATTATCTCTATAAAATGATTTAAAAGGTCTAAGCTTTCCTGTTCTCTTGCTTCTATTGGAAGTTTATTCCAGAGGACCGATCCTCTGTAGTGAAGGCTATGTTTTCCTATCTCTATCTAAGGTTTACGGACATACAAGTCTACTGATGAATTTCTTAGATTATAAGAGTGAATACATCAGAGACATTCATCATACGGCGGGAAAATATTATGAGTTATCTTGTACATTAGAATAACGAATTGTCTTATTCTTCTATCTTCTAGTACTTCCAAACCCAGTTTATCCTATAAATCTTTAAATCGTGTGTCATCATTTGATAAAGTCACTATTCTAGCAGCTCTATTTTGGAGTTTCTGAAGTTTTTTTGATAATCCTTTCCCTATATATCCCCATACACAGCTAAAGCAATCAAAGAGGGCACGATAAGAGCTTTGTACATGGTTTCTCTAGTTTTGAACGGCATGGTTCGACTTCCGCTTTAGAACTATCGATAGGCCTGCTGATATCTTCTTTGAAATCTCATCAATGTGTGTTTCCCACAAGAGATTTTCATCAATTGAGACTCCAAGAGATTTATAAACAGTCACCCTTTCTATGTGTATGTTATTAACCACAACTGTGAAATTGTCTGACAGTAGTTCAAGTTTAGGACGACTCCTACTCAACATTTATTTGGTCTTTTTGACGTTTAGAGTAAGCTTATTTACCTTAAGCCACGTCGGAATTTTGCTTAGATAGGAATTCCTTTGAACTTGTAAAGTATCAGCACTTTCGGCTGAGCACGTTAAAGTAGTGCCATCCGCATACACTGTGGGCCTTGAGTACAGTTGGCATAAGGGAAGGTCATATATATATAAAACAAACAAGAGGGGCCAAGAATTGATCCTTGAGGAATTCCACTTGTTAACATACAGAAATCAGAAAGTTCATCGTTAACTTTTCTTTTTCCGTCCAGTAAGATATGATTTAAACCATGCAAGTGTTTGGGACCTAACTCCATAAAACTCGAGTTTCTGTCAGTAGGAGAATAGCATGGTCCATGGTGTCAAAGGCTTTCTTTAGATCCAAAAATATTACACCATTTAGGAGAGATTTATCTATATTCTTAATCCGCTCATTTGTCTCCTCTAATACGAAAGTTTCTGTGGAAAACATTGGCCTGAAACCTCATTGTGATTCTGTCAGAAGGTTATTATAGTTTAGGTACCCCTACAATTGATGGAATACAACTCCCTAACCAGTTTACTGACAACAGGTAAAACTGAGATTGGTCGGTAATTACTAGGGTCAACTTTGGCACCCTCTTTGAAAACTGGGGAAACGCTAGTATGCTTCCATTCGTCTGGAGCAGTTTGACAAAAAATTGAAAGACTGATTATGAAAGTCAGAGAAGAGGTAACTATTGGTGCTGCCTCTTTTAAGAGGCCTACAGATATGTTGTCAAGCCCACTAGCCTTGTTTAAAGGGAGACTGTTGATGAATTTAAAAATTTCAGCACAAGTAGCTGGTTTGAGAAAAAAGGTAGATTAAGTGGGTTTAAAATAATCCGTGCACCTTATAGGTGTGTCTGGAATCTCAGCGGCCAAAGTTGGTCCAATTTCAGAGAAATTTTTGTTTAAAATCCTACTGATATCCCTAGGAGATTTATAGGTATGACAATTGGACTCTGGTTTTTAATTTCGTTTATTGCGGTGATTTTAGATTCATTCCCAAGCATAGCGTTTAGATGTTTTTGATATTTCCAGAGTTATCCCTAAAATAATTACTTTAGTAACGCTGTTTTTGCTTCCTTGATAGTATGATTAACTTTGTTTTTTCGCTGTTTGTATCTAGTCCAGTCAGTATCACTTTGAGATCTTGAAGCCACTTTTTGAAGCCTGTCCCGTTCAAACATATCGTGTTTCAGTTAGGGTGTAATCCAGGGCACAGAACTTCCCCTTACTCTCTTTTTCTTTAGAGGAGCATGACTGTCAGCAATGTATTCAAAAATTTGTTTCCATATACCTCATGCCTTGTTTGGGTCACTTTCAGCTGCAACAAGGTAACATGGTGCCATTGCAAGGTCATTTCTAAAGCTTACTGGATCGAATTTTTCGAAACATCCACTTGTTTTAATCTTTGTAGTAGATTCAGGTAGGCTGATTTTCCTAATTGCATACACGAGACAATGATCTCTTATCCAAAGGTCAGATACCCCACTATGGGAAAATCTTTGAGGATCATTTGTTAGGAACAAGTCAATTGCGCTACGTGTGTCTTAAGTTATCCGTGAAGGCTGTCCTATCAGTTGACTACATTGATAAATATTCCATATATCGAGGAGCTTCTGGGTTTTGTGGTAAAGTGGCGAGGCACCTACAGCACAGTTTACGTGTCCAATGATACTAACCTCCGGCCCATAGCCCTCCAGTTCTTTCAAAGTGGATTCGAATTTTGCGATAGATTCTATTGCAGACCCAGAGGGGCCTATTCCACGTTCCTACAATTTAGATTTAGCTACTTGAATAAAGAGAAATTTAAGATCATCCTCTTGATGTGGGAGACGTTTGTAATTGTGTTTCTGAAATGAAGAGCAACACCTCCACTTGCTCTGTTTCTATCCTTCCTCTCAATAACTTATCCTGGTAAGTTGATTTTACCATTGGAACAAAATTAGTAGACATACAGGTTCTAAGTTGGTCGATTTGTTTCTATAGACTAGCTATGTTGAGGGCAGCTATCTTAAATCTCCTGGTACTTGGGATACGAAAACTAGGCTGGTTATTGATCCGTTTTTAGGCACAAGGCTCATTGTCAGTAGAGATGCTGGTATCTTCGATATCTATTTGGGTTATTGGATGACCTGCGCAGCGTGGTTGTAGCCTTTAACCCAGTTTGAGAGAGATCAGTTAAAACAACCTTCTAAACTATGGTAAACTGCTTTTGGCGTGGACTCATCGAATTTGAGGCGAGGAATGTGTTTTGGAGCGAGGAGATATTTTTTTCAAAGGAAGAAGTCAATATCGCCAAACTTGGCCCAATCGGGTTTTACAAAACAGGAGATGAAGCTAAAATAGTTTCGTTTGGGGAAAGCACGGTGAGTCCAACATTTTCAAGAAAGACAATTCGGACCTGCTTTAATCCTTCACAGACAGATTCAAAAATGTTCTTGGCCCAAAAGCCGAAAATATCATTGCAGAGGACAATAAATCGACCAGAGAAGAAAGACGACGCTTACGAGAGGTGGAGAAAAAATTACGAGAGGAGGGAAGAATTTCCGTCGATCGCCAACGAGCCAATGATGAGGTGCAAAAACTGAGAAACAAAATCGAACAAATCCCAGCCAAGATTGATGTTTTTGATGAAAAACGTGAAAGTGAACTGCAAAGACTGAAACTTTTGAAAAAATCTTCAATGCTATTTTGAACGGGTTAAAAAAGAGCTTTATGACATACAAAAGCAACAACAACACAAAGGGACATTACAAAAAGAAGTCGATAAGCTGGGAGAAAGCATTGCTTCCAAGGAAAAGGAACGAAACACACTTGAAGAAAGACTCAACAGCACGAAACAACGTTCGCGCGGCCGGGAAAGGAATACTCTGTCGGAATCGCACGCTCGTTGTATTGAACAGAATTAAAGAAACCGTATGCTACACTTTAACACAATAATCGAAAGAAAGTTCGCAATGAAAGCGTAAGTGTCTTTTCCAGTGATTGCTAGAATACAAAACTTACCTTTAAGCATTTTCACCGCTACATTTAATCTGAAGGGCATATTGGGCATTCCGAACACCTCTGCCTTCATAACTCTGCCAAAAGCGCCCTCTCCAAGAACTTCCTGCAGGCTGATAAGCTCTCTGTCGATCTCCCATTTTTCGTGAAGTGGCATGCCCTCTTCGGACACCTGAGTGAGGTTAGAAGCAAGTCTAGAGCGTAGACCTGGCTGCCGCATCAGAGGAGCAGTTGATTCGCAAGACGATAGGGAGCTGCCCACGGACGGGTCATGAGCTCTGTATTCCACAGCGATTTCATTTGGCTTAGGACTGTTAACAAGACCGTATTTAGCTTCCTGCAGGCTGATAAGCTTTCTGTCGATCTCCCATTTTTCGTCCAGTGGCATGTCCTCTTCGGACACCTGAGTGAGGTTAGAAGCAAGTCTAGAGCGTAGACTTGGCTGCCGCATCATAGGAGCAGTTGATTCGCAAGACGATAGGTAGCCACCAATGGACTGGTCATGAGCCCTGTATTCCACAGCGATTTCATTTGGCTTGTGACTGTTAACTAGACCGTATTTAGCTTCTTTTGCTAATTCCATCTTCCGCTGGTAAAGATAAAAGCCAATTCCAAAAAGCACTATAAAAAAGACGCTAGCAGCAACCAACACTGCAATACGAATTTTTCGCTTCGATGACGATGATGATAATAAAGGTCCTGGTGATTCGGCAGATGGGCGAAGATTTCCATTTGTATCTTGCCAAAAGGTCGCATTTGTTTCAGGTGGTGACGCAGTTGATTCTGAAATCAAATACATGCTTATCAGCAGAGAACATGGGTTACAGTGCGTCAAAATTTAAATTCAATTTAAATAACTGATTATCCTCTACCTTTGTGGAGTTTTCCAGCGATAATGAAACAGATACAAAACAAAGTTAAGAATCCCAGTTGGGTAGAGGGCGAAACGCCTTGGATTTGAAAACGGGACTAACGAGAACAAATCAAGCTAGCACTCAGGGTGGGACTTGAACCTCCGGATTATAAGTCCCGCGCACTTACAGCTCGGCCATGCTGCCTTCCCCAAGCAAAAAATCAATCACAGAATCATAGTGTGTACATTGTGAGATACTAATTAGATGATGTAATTAGATTACCAGGTAATGATCAACATCAAATGAAGAATGGTTATAAATTCACTATCAATGACTGGTCGAGATCAATTTCAACTTCAAAAAAATAGCTGATGGACCAGGCTATGCTGCTGTTGATAGAATAACAGTTATCAATGGTGCACATAGCTCAATAACGCATATGATGATTAAATCAGCAGGTAAAATATTTTATGATACTGATAACCTTCATAATGTAACATATGTGAAGAATTTGTTATGTAAATTGTTGTGTTGTGTTAATTCAAAATTATATAACATATAATATATAGAAGTAATGACTCAACTTTACAAAATCAATCTCAAGCTATCAGAGAACAAAAGAAGGATCCTAGTAGTGTTTATCAAATGAGGGAGATAATTGTTCTAAGCGTCACTGTCTTGAAATCTCAGCAGGATTTAATCATTTATAACAAACAAACGTGATGTACATAGTCCGCCATTTGGCAAGAGCACATGGTAAGAGCCTACAAGTCCTAATGCGCATGTCGCTAGCGTTACTAAGCAACCATGCAATATCGAGACATCTCCCCTTTTTAAAAAAAATACAACAAAATGAACTGGTTGAATACAATGCTTAAGAGAGTGTCTCTGTAAGAGCGGTCCGGTCGATTTTCCTTGAGACATAGATTTAGCTCATTTCTTGTGTGTTGCAAGACATTCATGTACCTATACTAAAACCACAATCCGTTTGATCAGATCTCTTTATTTTTCAGAGTTTTACGGAAATTAAATTTCACTCGACCGAAGGCCTGTCGTGACACTTTTCAAGACGTTAATTTGAGGCAACTTTGCCGGACAATTTACAACAAACTACGGGACTCAGCAAAAAACAAATACCACAGCCATGTATATTAACTCTATCTTATCCATCGAGGCGACTTTCGTGAACATCACGTTTCAATCAAGCAAACAGGAAGACTTGAACGACACCTTATCGGTTCGCTTAAGTCACACACGCGAAAACCGATCAAATTCAAGGTACATTTTTGAAAAAGTGAAGCGTTCTTAACTGATCCAACTAATATAGCTAGGAAGTAGGTGCCCTAGAAAAGGTAACTACAGAAAAAAACTTTGCGGCCCGACCTTTACTAAAACTTTATAACTCCGTGAACTTACCTAATTTTCGGCAATCTCCAAGTTTTGCCGCCATTTTGAGGTACTTGTCAACATGAAGCGTAGCAGATATAAATCGAGCAGGTAGATCTAAAACAGTCAGAAATACGTACGAAAGCATTTAAATGAACTTCACTTTCAATTCAAGGGGCAAAATTTGAAATTGTTCGTTAAACCTACCATTCCTACATCCCCATGCGACCATTTCTTCCAACAATTCAAACACTACAACTAGTCATCACTAGTGTTCGAATTTCCCTCGTCGATTCCACCGTAAGAAATAACCTGTGCCACCCAAGCTTCGACTCGAATGTGAAGTACGAATCAAACAACATAACTGCGTCATCTTCGAGGCCATATCACGCTGCGGTGAGGGTAAAAGACGGAATGAGTTTGCGGAATGGCATGTGGCATGGCTTGCGGAATGACATAATTATGCGGAATTTAATATACGCTGCTGAATGATCAAAAGAAATAAATTAAACTGAAAAGAGCATCCTTTTTTGGCGCCAATCAATTTGCAAACGCAGCCGCTGTTTTAATGTTGCGGGCTTAACCTTTGATGACAATAAAAAAAAAACCACGAAGGCTCATTGTCGACCAGCCTTTTCCGCACAGCCAAAAAGATTCTTCGTCTATTGAAGAAAAGATGTTTTCGAAGGTCACGCTCCCTTCTACTTTAATTTTTTCTACAAAAGATGCTTGTACGATTAACTCAACAGTTTCTTGTTACCTATATTTGTATTCGAAACCGTGTGAGAAGTGTTTCTTTATGAGACTGTGGGTTACGTGATCGTGACATAATTGATAATATTATTCAGAGATGAATGAATCTTGTATTTTGTTTCCTCAACTGCGAGCTTGAGACGTGCGAAACAGAAAAATCGACCAAAATCTTAATTTCGTGACAAGAGTTGAAAAATCAATTTCTTTCATTTTTGTTCATAAATAGCTTTTAGGTAAAAGAGAAACCTAACGTAGATTGTTCCCGCCGAAAGCCTTTTATTCGGGAGAAAAAATAGAAGATCGGTTTTCGATGTCGCCGGAGTCTCAGACTGCATTAATTTTAACCTGAAATTCGCTAACATCAACTTTCCTCGCGTTCGCAAACGAAGCTGGATGGAGAAATTTGGACGCTTTCCACGAACAGAAAAATTCTTTTCCTTCCACTAGAAGATACTTTCTGGACAATATGGAAGCTGGTCGTACTGAAATAATTTTAAAAATGAGGGATAGGTTTTCAGGATAACAAAAATTTCAGTTCGTTACTCATTTTCGCCGCCAATATTTAACATGTGGTATAACTCCAAATTCTCTTCTTGCGATTTAAATCACACATTTAGACATTCATTTAAAACATACCCGGGAATTGGCTTGGGTAAGTGAAGGAAATCTCTGTAAGACACCATCGAAGTTCAGGAATTTTCATGGTAGGCTGGAGGTATAAATTGTCTGTCTTGTGTAAACAAGCGCAAAAATCGAGAATTTCTCTGTAGAACTTCCAATTTCGAAACGCACATAAACAGATATTTACAGCCCAATGGCTCGTTTTTCGTACGTCTTGTTGGTTTTCCCTTTGCAAAATTGCTTTTTTCAATCAAAGAATGGGGTAAAAAGGTGAAACTGGGTCAATTTTAGCCATTTTGAAACACTGAACTTTACCTGCCGGCGACTCTGCGTGACAGTCTGTTCCGTGACTGCACGTGGCACAACGTACGTTTGAAGAGACGGAGCTGTCAAAATCACAGTCACGAAATCAAGGTAGTAACGCAACGTAATTCTTGATCGAAGGAGTAACACTTTCGGTGCCGACAGTATTTTGAAGAAGCAAAAAATCAAATGCACAAGTATTCTGGGATTCACTTTCTATCGACTCAAAAATAAGGACTCTAACAATGGTATTAAATTCGCTAAGGATAACGGAAAAAGAAGATATTTCGTCTTGCTAATCGCGGAAACTAAGTTATTTTGGTCACGCCTCAGTATATTTACCGGACTTCAATGTTTTCGTGTGGAGGTTGCCTTCAGGAACCCTAGCTAATTCTCGGGTATGTTTTAGATAAATGTCTAAATGCGTGAACCAGTAAAGCAGTTGTTCACTCAAATTGGCGCCAAAAAAGGGGCGTCAATGACCCGCGCATGCCTTTCAGTTTAATTTATTTCTTTGCGCCAATTTCCATATTTTACATTCCGCATAATTATGTCATTCCGCAAGCCATGCCACATGCCATTCCGCAAACTCATTCCGCCTTTTACTCTCACCGATCACGCTGGTATTTTGATTTTCTGATCGACAAGAACGGTGATCCGGAGGTGATCGCCATGTTTACCTCATAAAGGTGACCGCTGACCAGCCGCTGAGTGAAAACAGTACGCCGCGGGGTGGTGTGGGTGGCGGACTTATCGTGATAAGATATTCAAATACACGCTAAAAAAGCTTTAGGACTCTCAGTCTAAACAGTGAAGGCATGCTTCGTGGTACAGACAACTTTCATTTTATTCTCATAACTTTTTCCTTTAAATTAGAACTGGTATTAATTAATAGAGTTATTTAAATATTTTTAACCGAGGTACCCATATGACTTTTTGGCTGACCTCAGTGGTATAAAATAAGTTGTCTTTTCTTCAAGAACCTTTTATTTATGCGTTATTGCACGGAATGAACACTATACTTAGAAGGTTTGTTCTAAATCATTTTGCTGTTCCCAAGAATGCATGTTTGCAAAATCATAGCTTTACACAAAGCTGACTCTAAAATATGATTTTCCGTAACAGTAACCAATGTCATTTAGGTAAGGTGTTAATAAAACTAGCAATGTACAATTTTTAGCGTTTTCCACTTATAAGACTGACATACAATTATCAAGTGAACTATGTTAGTTTCAACTCATTCGATTCCTTGATTTGAAGTGACATTTTATCACTAAACCCCATTCTTTTCATTTGCAATTTTCCTGTACTTTTTTTTCAAATGACAACGAGAGAGTTTTATAAGTAAACCGATTTTTTGGTGTACCGCGCTTATTACATTTTATATTCAAATACATGCAAAAGGCCGGCTAAATAA